AGCAGGAATACTGGCACTCAGTGAAGGTGTCCAATGAGATTTTTTCCCCAATTTGCTTGTGTCATTTACTCGTGAAGTTTATTTCAACATTTAGAAGGACTTCAGAGAGTTCTGCACAGGACTCCACTAAAGCCACATCTATACTACTGCGCTCCCTGCCAGTGGAGATCTCTTGGCAAAGCACTTGGCAGGAAGTAGCTGCTCTGGAAGCTGCATTTACACAAACTTCTCAGAGCAGAGCTGTCTGGACAAAACACTACCATCTTCTGCCAACAGAGAAAAATCAGACTCTGGCACAGCCAAAAGCCTGCATGGCAGTGGTTCAAGAGCTGATCCACCTACAGATGCGAAATAGCACATCAATATAATGGAGTCTTTCCCTGAAAGAGAGAGAAAATACTTGCCAAAATAACTTTGCCAAGTGGTCAGTAGAACAAAACTGGAGAAAGATTTGTACATTTCGCACATCACCGCATGCAAAGGATCACTCCACTCATTCATCACTTATTTCTCATTAGCATAAGAAAACAGTAGCCTGCCTTAAATGATCACCTAGGGGAAAAGATATATGGAGAACCAAAAGAAGGAGGATACTTCTTTGAAAAGGAGGGAGTAAAGAAATATTTTAGATATGCAAAGCAGGAACAGAGGTGCCACGCATACAGCCTGCCCGTTTCCCCCCACCACACACAGACAACGCAGCATCACCAGCATAAGCAAAACATTGCTCCCTGAGGAGCTGTGGACGTAGCTCTGGCATCCTGGACTTACCCTTCTTTGCTTCCATCAGCTAATAATCCATCGGGGATTTCCACAAAGAGGCTCTGATTAGAGAGCACTGCATCCCAGGAAGAGGTCTTCACCTCTGTGACCTTGTACTGGAAGTGGACAATATGAGGCTTCCCTTCATGCACTGGGACATCTTGGTTAACAGTGATCTTCTCGTCCTGCACGTTGTGGAAGGGCAGCGGGAAGAGAAAAGCTCATGAAATATGCTATAGCGTTTCAGCGCCCTTCAACACCAACCAGGTAACACCAGCCCTATGAGTGCAAGCCTGGTACAAAAAAGATTTTACAGCAGTATGTTAATAGATGTGAACTTCAAAATGGACCTTAAATGCACTAGGTGTAAAGCACATGTTGAACCGGATTCTTCCCACTGCACTATTATTGGGTCTTTTTTATATATATATATATATATAAATTATTTTTTAAATAATCAAAGAACAGATTTAGGATTCCCAGCTCCTCCCTGACCAGCTTTTAACCCCACTACTCACACTTTTGTTTAGAAGCAAGTGACCTAAAGCATTAGCCAGCCAATTCTAAAAACTGTACCTTATTAAGATTTGTTGGGTTAAGTGCCAGAAGCTGGGAGGATTCAAGAGAACTATCCCATGAAATTATAGACCAAAATTTTTTAAGTGACTGTGCTTAAATGCGCATGCAAAGAGATTTTCAAAAGCATTTTCAATGGAAATCCCCTGCTGAAAAGCTGCGGTCAGCCTTACAGCCTGAACTGTATCCAAAATTTCAGTTTTAATCACTAAAATTCATCAGCATTGGACCTGCCATAGCTCAAGAAGGTATGCACAACCAGATGCTAGATCTCACCTTAGTCTGAACACCCTGGATGCTTGTAAGGGGTTAAGAGCCACTGTTCTAAACTATTTGCATTTTCCAGAATACCTTGCTTTTATTCTGGCCTAACACATCCAAAGAAAGAGTGAAAAAGTAATATCTTAACAGCTAGGGGACCGTAAAGAGATCCAAATGCAAACTAAAATGGTATTATAAACTTACTGAGAAGAACATTATACTTTTCCCTTTCCCCTTCATTGGCTCAGGGGCACACTACAATGAGTGCTCAGATCTCAGAGTGATTTTTAGTCATGTTTTCCAGTTCAAGTGAACGCAGTTTTGCATATTTACATTTTATTACATTTTGGGTCGCAAAAGTCCATTCATTCACCACAAGTTCCAGCCACATCTTTGAAGAGCAGTTCACGAACTACTCTTCAAAGAATACCACTCCAATCAACGAGCTGGAATAGTATCTGCTGCTGTAGTCCAACCAGTTTCGTTGCATTTCCCTTCCTTCTCCCTACAGTCTTTGAGATGACCACAAATTGCTTTCCCAGATTTTACAACCAACTAGTAGTACGGCAAGTGTTTTGTCTCCTGATATAGGAGAGGAAAATATGTAGCACAGAGAATTCCAAAGTAGACAGAAGTTACACACATTTGAAGACTGTGACTAGGTCTCTTCCAGAGACCACAGGCATACATGTCCCTCTCTAATACTGCTCTAACTAGAATGGCAAGCATGCCATTCTGCTTTGAATTCTGCTTAGCGGTTCCTAGAAAACAATTTAATGGTTAAGTCCCATTCCTTCTCCCGGCAATTTGCATAGGCAGTTGGCTTCCCCAGTAATGATTTCCATATTTCACTGCAAAAAGCACCAATGAAATAAAGAAACTCCTTAGGTTCCCAAGTTAACATATCAACTGCAGTGGACACTACATTATTCCCCCTCTGCTTGGTTACAGGCTCACACATACTGAATCTGTCACATTTATGAAGTTACCTGCACTACCTGAAGGACAGAAGTCAGTCAGATATTAGAGCTAATACCAGTTTTGATCCTGCATCGTAGGGCTACAAAGATTATTAGAGGGCTGGAGCACCTCTCCTAGGAAGAAAGACTGCGAGAGCTGGGCCTGTTCAGCCTGGAGAAGAGAAGACTGAGAGGGGATCTCATCAACGTGTACAAGTATCTGAAGGGAGGGGGTGTCAAGAGAATGAGGCCAGCCTCTTCTCCGTGGTGCCCAGCAACAGGACAAGAGGCAACGGGCACAAACTGAACCACAGGAAGTTCCACCTGAACCTGGGGAAAAACTTCTTCGCTGTGAGGGTGACAGAGCATTGGAACAGGTTGCCCAGAGAGGTAGTGGAGTCTCCTTCGCTGGAGATATTCAAAACCCGGCTGGATGTGATCCTAGGCAATATGCTCTAGGTGACCCTGCTTGAGCAGGGAGGTTGGACTAGATGATCTCCAGAGGTCCCTTCCAACCTAAACGATTCTGTGTGATTCTGTGAAAAGACGGCCTGGGGAAACTGCACGCCCCTCTCTCCTTAACAGCGTCAACAGGTGAAGAGGGAAGTGTTATATCCCACCCAGGTCATTAGATGAGTGGCATCTAATGGGCGTTTTATGCCAGAATCTATTTTATCAGGGCGCTTAATTCAGCAACTCATTATGAACTTTGATCTGCTGATGCTCACCGTATATATAGCTGGCATGACAACACAAGCAGCAGTGACACTGCTGCAGAACAATTCCATCACATCAGAATAGCTTTAAATGCATTGTAATCAGGCGGCTATATACATTTCTTTAGCAATAAAGCACATAGGCAGCAAGTATAGCAGGGAAAGCTTAGTCCAGTTTGGACCTGTCATGAAGAAGTATTTCTCCTCACAACCATAAGATGTGGGGTATAAATACAGTAGCAGCCAATGGCACCCATTAACGGAGAGAGATTCCTCAGCATTGTTGCCCTTTCAAGCAGACATTTGCTTTTAGGCGTTTTAAACTATTAAGGCATAAGCATCACTGAAAGACCAACAGTTCAGCCAAAACACACTTCTGAACACTTCTAGGCTCCTCAAGTTCACGGTCCCAGTGTTTTAATTCCTATTATCACGTGTATTAAAATAGGCCCCTCTTGGCTTAACCATGGTGATAAGAAAGAAGCCACTGAATATGTTAATGTTAGAGACAAAGTAACTCTTCATGTAAATCAGAAACTGCCTGACTTTGGTAACTTGAGCAGGAGAAGCTGGGTTTAAAGCCCACAAAGCTTAGCATAGCCCCGCTGAAAAACAGGTTTACGCTTCATCAGAATAAATATCCTGTGGGAAATAAGTTTGCTCACCAAGTTTGACAGAAGTTTTCATGGCTGTGCCTGCCACCTGGATTTATTACAGCTTTAAGCCAACTGCACTAAGAAACTGCTGCTGCTCAAGTAGAGGTTAAATCAGACTGTCGCCAATACGGCCAGCACTGAGCCAGTGGCAAGAGTCATACCTGAGCACAGGGAACGCTCTGCGCTACAGGGATATATTCAAAAAAACAAACAAAAGAAATCCCCCACACAGAAGGGGGCTATGCACATCTCTCACCAGTGACTTTATAGGACCCTTTTAACATTTGTTTTTACTTTGCATAAGAGTGCCTCCATTTCAGAGATCTTCCTCTCAAGTAAGAAAAGCTCACAGATGTTTCTTTTCTTACACTTCACAAAAACATGGCTAGGAAGCTGAGAAGAACAGGCTGGGATTGACACATTGGAGGGGGAGGCACACATGCATTTGTGTAGAAAGACTGTCAGAAGCCTGCAATAGGAGGGGAAAAGCTTTCTGTATCTTCTCGCTTAGCCCTTCTGTCACCAGCAGTTACGCACTTTCAAAGACTTTCTCACGCACCCAAAGCTAGCAAGGTTTTTCACTTAAAAAAACCTAATGCAACAGCCTACTGTTCCAAAGGCAACATAACTGCATGGATTAACAGAACCAGTTCTCCCGGTTCTTTGGGAATTAAGTTTACACAGCCTATCTTGGGCAGCTGATTTTACTTTTTATTTCTGTGCATTAAAATAGAGTTAGTGAGATCCTGAGAAAAGAAGCTGTTCCTGTGAATCAGCAGCCCAGAATTCTTTGGAACATGCTCAAAGCAAAATCCTATTTATGCAACAAATGTTCAGTTTTACTTCACCCCTGCACAATCCCCCAGCCATGCTATCAGAGCCAAAAAACTCACCAGGCTGTCTTTTACACCTAACTGCCTAAATCATCAGCTCTCAAGCCTTGGGCTCCGTTTCAGTCAATTTTAGCCTCAAGGACCAGCTTCCACTCAGTAACAATTCACTGTGCACAAGATTTTCCAATTCAGTTATGCTGCTCAAGTGTCCTGAGGAGGACAGGAGGGAGGCCTCTACATATTGGCAGTGGAAGGAGAAAGGATGTTATGATCTATTCTAGCCAAGCGACTCTAGAAACTCATGTATGCAGCCTAGCGTTGGCATGCGCTACACCTGCAGACTCCTGCCAAGTTTGCTAGCCAGAGCACGTACTTCAGTTCAAAGCTCATGCTGGCTGCACAGCACCAACTCTGACCGCTATTTCATTCCCAGTTCTACAATAAAGCCCCCTGGATAAAGAGCTGAACATTAGTTTTTGTTATTTTGTGTGTTATGAGACTTAGAGGGAGCCTCAACTGCTTAATTTATAATGCTGTAATATACAAGTACTGTGCTGCATATTCTGAAGGAGGCAGACTCGTACAGAAAGGTCATCTCTAACTAGAGCAGCTCATATAGTTGGAAAAAGTACTTAAGCTTTTGGGTCCAGGTGCCTTTCCAGGTCATACTGAAGCACGCTGGCTGAAAAGCCCAGCCTGCTGCAACTGCAGCACCACTAACGTGAGAGGGGGTCCCCTCAGTAGCCCGCTCAGTAGCCTCAGAGGGAGTCTCAAGACTCAGAGAAAGTCCCAGCAACGCATGCCTGAGGCTACAGTTTTAAATACAGGGCACCACAATCTTCACAACGAAATGAACTATGTTAAGGAAGAGGCTGATTCTCTGACAGGTTCTGGTAGCAAACTAGATCCTGCCAGCAATAAACTCTGCAAAGAATTACATTCCTACTTCTGGGATGCATCTATCTAGACACCTCCTCCACAGGCTGCAACCCCTGCCTGTACACCACTGCCAACAGCTTCTGTGCTAATGGAAGGCCATACTGAAGTCAAATGCTTCAAAGCCTCGAAACTGTGATCCTCTCCAACAGCATCTTCTCCACGCTGAGTCTATTTTCTGCTTTTGATCTTGTCCAGTGTGTACACAGTGCTTGATAAAGACTAGCCTGCAAGAGTTAAAGTTGGCTCCATTTCATACCCCTTTAATATCTGTGACAATTCAGCTCAACAGCATTAAGATGATGTTACAGTATTCTGAAAATGTTAAGAGGCTACACACGGTACAGAGACTGACATTTATATAACTACTTATTGTAGTCACAAGGTAAGCAGGTGAAGCACATGCTAAAAATTCACTAAGCTGGCGCTAAAGAAAACCTCTGTCAACAGACAAAAGCGACACTGGTCTCCAATTCTCTCAAGCATATTTCAGGAGGAGACTTTCATAACTGTGACCTGAAAAGGCCTGCATCTTTTCATCATATAAAGTCTGGATGCCTCCCACAGTATAATTAAAAGCAAGTCTAACACCTATGACAACACTTCTGTCTGAACAGCCAAATTTGCAAGCTTAGCAATGAATTTAGGCTACCTCCTCTGACAGCACTCCATTCCCTAGCTTGCAGAAAGCAGCCTCTATCCCAGAAGGGAGATAGATGCGTGCCACTAGAATATAACACAGAAAAGTTGTGCGAGCACCGATTACTCTGGAGAAAGGAATGGTCAATTCTCCTCATCTGAAAGCTAAAAGACTCCTTGAAATAAGGAAGGCCACAAAATGACGGGTTTAGATATATTTACTCCTAAAGTAGTCTGCAGATGCAAACATTTTATTAGCTTCTCTCATCCTGTGCATATTCTAAAAATATTCCAATTCTCTCAATGGATGGCAGCCTCCCCCTTTTTTGAAGTCAGGAGAGTTATTCTGTGCATCTATTCAGGCAGTTCCTAGGCGCTGACGGCTTTGCCTTCCGGACTAGGGCACAGGAAGAAGCTTATCAACCATTTACTCCTCAGAATTTCACCTTTCTGCTTCCCACTTCCTCCTTCTGCAACACACTTCGGTTGCTTCACGCGTTGATAACGTTGGCTCTGCACACAACAGCAGAAGCAGACCTCCAGGAATGAGATGAGTCAATTTTTGTTGCAGACCTATGAGAAAAGGTCTTTTCTTTCTTAGGAAGCAGGTGATATTTAGACAAAAGAGCTGCGTGCAGTTCAGTGATATGCCAACAAGATCACTGAAATTTCCCCATTTATTACTTTGGACTAGTTTGTATTTATCCCCCACCACCTGCAAAAAACAAACATGGCTGTAACACAACTACAGGTCATTATTCCAGGTATTAGATCATTCTCACCTTATATATCAGAGCTGAAAGAGAAGGATCCCTGCTACCCCCTCGCCCACCGGGGATCTTCGACAGTGGGTGAGGGGCATCAGGAGCACCACAGAGGCCCTGGAACAATGTGCCTGCAGCACTGCAGCTGGGGACAGTTACTCAAAGGTAAGATACTACTGCAAGAAGAGAGAGAACACAAGGTTACATTAGCAGGATCAAGTTTCTGATGCTACAACTTCTCATGACAACTCGAAGACATTTGTATTCCTGCTCCTCCACTGCACATCAGAGGCAGCTATCAAGCCTTTTAGTGCCTGGACTTCTATATTAAAAACACTTACAGCCCAAGCTTTGTTGCATCAGAAAATGGTAGTGTTTTGTTTGAAACAGAGAAGGGGATTTGTAGTGAAGAACTGAGAGAGTGCTGAGCAACCTCATGCTAATAAGGGACACCTGGAAGACTGCCAGCAGCAGATGGCTGGAAACGCATGACCAGATGAGCACACATTTTCTATAGACAAATATCTACAAATAGATCAACAGGATCCAGAAGGAGGAGGTTTAAGTTTCACGTTTTCAAAGTGAGGAGGAGTGAAAGGGCTAGTTTTTTCAGATATCTTGAACATATTGTACAACATCTGAACTGACATTTTCAAAGACAAATGAAACATCATACAAGTGTCCTTCAGCCCAACCCCGCCCGCATCTTACAAGTTCACCCCACAGACTTTGCCTCAAGATCTACTTTTAAGAACTTGACACAAGAAAAAAAGTTTCCCTCAGTTTGTAAGTTTTCTTGGATCTCCTGCACATGGTTGATTAGGATCACTTTGAAAGTAGGCTTTAATACATACTCCAGCTTTTAGGAAGCCCATGAAAGCAAATTATTTTACTTCCGGAGCATTGCTTCCTTTTATCAGGACCACAAAAACTCTTTGCTGAGGCACAGCATAGCAGCAGTATTCCTCTAACAAAGCCTGCAAAAGCAAGGCAAAAAAACCCAGTCTTTCTTCAGTGTTCCTGTTATGAACTACACCAGCACAAAGCTAGGTAAACACCACTTTTTCCACAACTTCCCTGAAAAATCAAGGCAAATGCAAAGGTTTTCAATAAGCACAGCGAGTGAGGAACAAGACTGTAAGTGACAGCCTCCATATAAGTATCCACAACTCACTCTCTGTCCTAAAACTTTCCACGCGAGTTGTTTCCAAGGCAATGCTTGCTCCAGTCCTCCCCTCTTCCTGCCCCTTCCATGAACTAGACAGTCTTAATTATCAAAAGTTTAAGTACTGAGTCACACTATCAAAAATCACTTGAACCTCCTCTGCAGTATGCCAGAACATATACCAATAGTCTGCAAATGAACTACTGAAACATTTATGAATGCCAAAAAATAACTTCAAAATGCAGTTAAAAACAGAACACTTAAATGCTAAGATCTTGGCTATCCATCTCATACTGAAATAATCTTTCTACAGGAAGCACAAATATTCTTCCTCCACATATTTCCTCCTCCTCCAGGTTTGCTAGACAGTGTTCTTCAGTGGTGTTCCCATGTGGCCATGGCCTACGGCAGGCTCTGCTTGTAGAAAGGACTGTTTTAAACACACTAGGAAAAGATATTAAGCAGTTGTATTGAAGATGTCTCAGGGCAAAATCCTTTATACACATGCTCAGTTGTGTTTTGTATTAATATAGTCCTTCCTCACGACATCACTGGGGCTATCAATGGACTAGTGTGCATTCAGTAGTAGTGGATGTGGAGAGGCATGACAAAGCACTTTGCTGTGCAATTCCCCACCCCCAGAAAGCTGTTGGCAGCTTTGTTATTCCCTTCCCTCCTCCCTCACCCCACAGTCAACAATGTACTATTGATAGCTCTCTCCAACTTGTGGCCAATGCATCAAGAAGCTGGATAATGAAGTGTAGTTGTGGGAAAAAAAAGAGGCAGTAGTTTTCATGCAAAGCAGTTCAAGACACTTCCCAGTTTTCCTTCCTCCGGCACATGCACAAGTCAAAACACAAGACCCCTTCAACCGCAAGCTGAACCCTCCTTGCAACACTGGGGCTTTGCTAGTCTCCAAAGCCTAGCCCAGACCTGCACACTACCTCTATCCTCCCAAAACTGCAGGGCTACAGCCAGCCAGGGGCCTAAAAGCAGCACACTGCCAGCTTAGGCAGGGGCAGTACCACCAGAAGGTAACACAAAGAAGGTAAACTGGAAAAGGTTTTGCTTCTTCCAGATGCATATTAGCAGCAGTCCTGGAAAAAACTTCACACAAGTGTCAAACTCCAACCATCTGAAGAAGTCTCATCCCTTGCTGCCTCTGCTACACACATGCAAGCAGTCCATCATGATTCTGGTCTGGAAGATCCATGTATAGCTTAAAATTAGGATTACCCTCCCATCTGCTCTAGTCTCTCCCCTCTTCTAAGAGGCTGCTTTCCTTCAGCCAGGCAGCTTAGTTTAAAATAAAATTAATTTAGACCACTAAGGTCCTTTCACTAAAGGATTTCCCAAGTAAAAGCTTCCCGACCAACTCCCACCTGAAATGAGCGCTGTTACCAAGCATACATTTTTAGCCACTTTGTATAATTTCAACCTGTCAAGCTTTCAGCAATTTTAACTCTGTGCCTCCCCCTAGGAAGCACAAAGTCAATAGTTTTGAGCCTAGTCCCAACTGCTCTTCAGTATGCCTACAGATCCTTCACACATGAAGCTCCTGGCCAGGGCTGCTTTCAACCCATGACAACAATGGGTTGAACAACTTTGGGTCTGGAAAGCTACGGTTGTTCAGAGGAGAGGAGAAAGAAAAAAACCAAAAAACAGCACTTGTGCCAGATGGAGAGACCTGCAAGCTCCCATGGCACTACAGAAATAATTTTTTTTTTCTAAACAGGCTCTTAAGAAGCAGCTGAACATAGCCCAGAACAAGAAGTTACTATGCAGTTTACCACTGCAAGCCATATAGTAAGGAATCTTATTTGATGAGTAGCTAGTATGCAATAATCTTAAGAATACAGCACAGCTCAAGTATCTGCTCTACATGCAACAGCCAAGAAACAAGGCCGTCTTAGACACGTTCTCCAGGCTCTTATCTACACAGTTTGATAGAGACTCAGGAAATGACACTTTCTAGACTGTAAACTAGGAAAAGAGA